ACTCCAAATGTGTTTATATTTTTCTAGGCTACCCGATGGACAGTTTGCAAACTGGTGAATAACTCCTCAAATATATGACACACCTCATTTTTTTTACAGGAAAAATGTGCATCTTATATTCCAAGTAATATGGTATCTAAAAATCATGAATCTGGAGAAAAATGCACAACAAAGACCTACATAATAAGACAGTGACATTAAAAACAAAAAGTGTTCACACATTCCTAGCAAATATAAATTTCTTGCTAAATTCTGAATGATAACAGAACTTCAACTATGTTACTATGAAGAATGGTTTGAACAGCCGGGTGGAAACTGAAATTAGCATGGAATAATACTGAGTATTCAACAGTGTTTCTTAAATATTAAGTATACGAAAAGATAACTTATGCTGTGTAAAGTTTACCAGCTGTACAGTTTAATATGAGAATATAAACCAAACTAAAAATACAAAGTGTCCTGATAGCAACTAACAAAAGTGAAAAATATAAGACACAGCAACCTGTCAATATTTACCCTGGAAGATGTTGTTAGCAAAAGACCACTATGCGCTGGACTGCCAAGTTTGCACTCTACTTCCATGGAGAAGGATGAAGATGTAGCAGGAGACATTGACATCTGTTGATGGTTCTCTTCGTGGACAAACAGCTTCCTTCTCAGTGTTGATGTACTTAGGTTGGCTTCATCAATACTTTCACATGGATCCTGCATCACATTGTGAAATGACAGCTGAAAGCCGAAATAGTGGAATGAGTGGTGATCATTCCCAGGCAACAACATGGTAAACACACATCCACAGCAACAAATCAACATGCAACAATGGAGGAACACTTGGGAAGTGGTGTTTTCTGTGTAGTCCATGCCAAGGCTATACAATGCATACCAGCAGCAGCCATGTAGAGAGGGGGCGACCAGTAGCAGCAAGACCCCTCCTCTCATTGAAGAGATGGCCCCATTTCAAAACACATAAAAGTCTTTGAAAGAATAAAAACGGTCATAGGTCCAGACAAGACGTGAAACCAAGATTCACTGTGCTGGTAAGGGCTAGCAGCAATTTAAATGACCAGCAGCCACAGTTTGTGAGTTGCACATGAGCAGCGGCAGTTAATGGTTTGCCATGAAAAATCTCCATTGCTAGCAGCCACTGCCTAGCAACAACTAATGACAGCAGAATAACAAACAGAAGATTTCATGTGTGCTGTAATTCTAGTGATTTATAGTGTGCATAAAATTAGTGTTGTAGTGACAAGTTATAAGCGTCCAATAAATCCAATTATCAGTCTGTACCCTGAGTCTATCAAAATGTGTTTGTAATGAATTGACTTAATGATGTCTAGGAGTGGTAAACAATGTGTGTCCACTAAATTCTTCAAGAAGACTGGAAAGATGGAAACTGGAAATTATTAAATTATGCAATTGGCATTTGGAAATGCAACAATCAGCCAAACATAGTTTTGTCATTTCAAAGGGTGATGAATAAGTTAAAGGTAAAGTTGTCCCTGTGCTTAATTATTTTAGCACCATGCCACGAAGACATAAGTGTGGGTAGAGGTAAGATTCCAACATTCTTGACCTTGGCACTAGATGAAGGCAAGTGGTCAGCTTCATGCCCTGACCACTTTAACCCTGGGGAAATAGTCCCCTGTGCTCATTAGATACAAGGCTGGGTGGGCCCCAGAACCACTATGGATGTTGTGAAGAGAAAACAAATTTCTGGCCCCACCAGGAATCAAAACCCAGCCAACCAGTCTACAGCCCATCATTATGACTGAGCTATACTGGCTCAGAAAGAGTGATGAATGCTTGTTGAAAGCGATAAGTGTA